AGGTAAGGTTGAGATGGAAACAGAGCCACAAGGTGCTGAAATACGTCTTAAGACTCCTCCTAGGAAATACTTAGTAAATTCTAACAAGCAGCACCACGTGGCCTATTTCAAAGATCCCTAAATATCTGTTCTCTTGCTGACATATGCATGATCATTCTCAGACAGCTTTATATCTAAACAGATGTTTAAAAAATGTTCTTCGGGCAAGATGCACTTCCAGCCAGCCTTCTGCAGGAGTGCAGAGTTGATCTTTAATAAATTGAATGCCTGTCTTGTATATGAGGGATTGATGTGGACATCATTAGGACTCTGAAATGCTCTAGAGAACAGTATCAAAAAAAGTTTCATCCACCCATGAAAAACCAGAAATTTCTGTGCCAAACCAATCGATGGGTACTCTTGTTTCTCAAGGGCAAATGCAATTAGCATTCTGGGTCTGAAAGAGCCAGCGTAAACCCACTAGGAATATCAATGCTAAGTTAGGAGAGAAAGATGTAAGGGATAGACAGGTTATTACAATGGTGAACAAACATGCTGACTTAACTTCTCTTTAAATTACACCAATTTATGACAAAATAGTAGGAAAAATCTAATCCCCCATTAACAAGAGGCCATATGGAAGAATTACTTGAGGATATGTAATTGCAGAGTTGCTTGCCACGTAAGAGTGCAAGGTCTTTACCACCTAAGTTTTGTGCTAAGTAATGGCAATGAAGTAGCAGATCTGAGCCTGAAAATGTGACAGTACTGCCCAAGCCCTCCCTGCAGGACTTAGGCAAGCCAGAAACTGCAGCTCCAGCTGATGCTTGCAGAATGTCACTGTGAAGAGCGGCTCCCATGATCAGCTGTTATGTCATGCTGTGCAGATTTTTTGTTTGAATTCTTGCAACTTCATGTGAACGATGCTGAACGAAACCCAATGCCGTCTCTGAAAATAACAATGCATAGCAATTAAGTGCAAGAGTCATGGTACAGTCATGCTGCATCATAAAGTTAAGCCTTCAACAAGTTTCAGAGCCTAAAACCACAGAAACAAAAAATAAATGACAGTGACTCATGAGGGCTATAGAGGAATACTTCTGAATTAATAGCAATATTAATGTGTTGCTTTCCCATCAGCATATCAGCCACAAGCATCCAGAGGCTGCTGGTAGAGGTTATGACACAAGACCTTCATTGTGGGGGATGACTGGTGATGGTGATTGGTCCCATTCTGATGGGTCCTTCTGCTGCCACTTTGCTACAGGGTACAGCAAAACCTGTCATCTATTTAGTGCATTGGTCAGCCTGACAGCTCTGCTCTGGTGGCTCAGAATAAAGCTGCTGGGGCAATTTCAGTGAAGGGTTCAGCCGTTCAGAGTTTTTTTTCAGCAGTTCAGAGCTTAAACTGTTTATGATACCTTAACACTGGATTCCCTTGTTCAGGTCTTCACTAACATGGAGCCAGGCGAGAGAACAAGCTGCAGCTTGGTCAGATCAATCTGAAGCCTGGACCGGCCATAACAGTTGCTTTTTTTTTTCTTTTTTCTGCCTCTTTGTTACTGATTATAATTCCCTGAGCAGCTTAGCTGTCAGAAATAGCACCTCATTTGTGTTTATCTACTGACCGTAACTGATATTTAGTTTTTTATTCCAGACCTGTTCTTTAGTAATTAACACACTATGAATTTGGCTGTCAATTAACACCCATTCAATTTAGCTCCCATTTTAAGAAAAGTTGTTCATAATCCTACTCTGTTCGTAATTCTCTGGAAATTACTTCAAATTGACTCACGGTTTTGAGGTATTTTGTAACTGGGGAAGCAGTTGTCAGGAAAGAAGTTTCAGACAAATTTAGTCACAGCTACTTGCAGTACTTAATCAGTTCTTCTCCAGCAAGGTCATATGAGTCCCCAGTAGCTCTTACTCAGTTAGCATGTAAGATCACTGACTCCCAATTTTACATATTTATGACTGGGTGGACAAAAAGTGTCACTGCAATATATCTTTGACCTACAAAGGTCCATACTCTTCTTCAGTTTCTTGGGAGTCCCAATGGAGTTGTTCATCTACCATCAGGGTAGTCTACATTCAGTGCCAGGACTGGAGAAAATTTTAGTTGCCCAGATGAGTTGGATGTACTTTTTAGTGCTTCACCATGGCTACAGGAAATATAATCAAACACTATCCTGTGTGGGAGGGAACAACATGACGGCAGCTTCCTCGATCATTTCCAGGAAAAGTTGTATCATGGTTTTTCAGGTACTATTGCTATGAATTATTACTGCCATAAGCCAAATTCCTTTCACATTTTTATTCCTTGCTGAAAGGTGATAGTATTCCAAGTCCTGGTCTTGGTAAGACAAACCGTCTCTCTTGTCACTGCCACTGGCGTAAGCAGGGAGAGGCACGCTGGAGTTTGCAATAAAGGTTTAGATGGCAGTATGCAACAAAGCTCACATTTGTATCCTAAATTTCCTTCTTTGCCTTTCACCCTCTTGTTTGTCCTTCAGTCTACAGCTCTTGAACTACTTGATACTGCTTTTGCAGTCTTCCGTCTATCTTTGCCAGATAAATGGCATTCCTCTGACTCCTCCAAGTGTTGTAGTAGAGAAAAACTGAGATAAGGGACATTCTGGGTTTAGCTCCTTGTCTTGCTTTTTCCCCTTTTTAATTCCCCTCTGAACACTCTTGTTCATTTTTATAGTTTTTGCTTGTGCATTTGTCAAGAGCTGTCTCCCACCTGAAAACACCTTGCCATTTAACTCCTATATTTAATTAAGGCAGGGAAAAGACACAATCCTACTGGTCAGTTTTAAGAGTTGTAGACAAAGCTCCCCTGGGTTCAGTTATCCATATGGTCCAGCTGGCTGTCTAGTTTGCTGAATCCACCTAAGGATATTTCATCTGGCCAACAACCTGTCCCTGGAGGAAGTAAATGGAGCAATAAATTCTTCCCCAGCAGCTGAACACCCCTGTCTGCCCACCAGCACCCCAGACAGACAGGTGACTGCAGTGGCAGGAGAGGGTTTGAGGGTGGGAAGATGCTGGTGGAGGAAGATGACTGCTGCTGCCAGGATCACTAGTGGGAGACTGAGACCAGCTCACTCTGGAGGAGGGTGTAGACGAGCTAGGTGATGGAGCTGGGAGCCCACAGCTAGCCACCCCCACTCCAGTTTCCCGCTGTTTGGTGCCTCTCACAGGCATTCAGCACACCTCGCTTTTCTTTCTTACCCATTCAGACTTCATCATGTGTGATGAGCGTTACGTATGATAGTCATCTCTAAAATTCAGCCTTTAGCATTTAAACCTTCTTGCCAGCAAAAATACAATATATGCATATAATCGGGGACTGGTTACAGAAAGTTTTGGCTAATTGTCATGGAAGCTGGAGACAAGCTGTGGGAGCCTTAAACCCCCATGTCATTAGACTACTGCATCTATACACGTATCATTAAGAGACAAAGCTCTTATGAAGCAAAATGCAGGAAACTATCCTGCATTGCTGGCTGGGTGATTATGATGTTCCTCCAAAAGTCACTGGAGCCTGCTGCTCGGGCATCCTCAGCCCGAGAGGCCAGCTTCAGCGTTGGGCAGAGTCTTTCTTAAGGCCAACACACTGTGAGAAACCAAAGTAGTGAGTAGGGACAGGAACTGGCTGGGAAGGCCCACCGGCCACATTTTCTGGCCCATTCACCGTACTGGGCGGGCTGTGACCCCCGTGACAACTGCCCCTGGGGAAAGCTCAGCAACAAAACATGCATACTGTGAAGCACATTGGTTCCTCAGTGTGTTTCTGTAAAGGGTAAATCCACTTCTGAGGAGAGAGTCAGTGTATAGCATAGCCTGTGCTTCACTCGCGGGTCACTCCAGCCAAAACTATAGCCAGAACGGTACCAAGGGGTTTGGTTTGTCCTCTGAGCAGTGAAGGTTTTCACTTCTTCTGTGTCAGAGAGAAGAACTAGAACAAGAATTTAAGTAAAATTGGGCAGAAGTTTGTAATTTCTATCCTTCAGTAGATCTATTGTCATGGATACTCGTTTGCTAGATGCACCCTGTGGGTGTAAGTGGTGTCCTCTTCTGTCTGTGAGGCTGTGAAACGATTCTCTCCCCCAGTAGAAAAGGCGACACCATCACTGTGAAAAACACGTGCTTACATGATCTATTTTTCTGGTTTTTATTAACTCAACATTGTCTCCTACAAATACGATTTGTCATTCACCAGAAGATTTGAAATGTAGACTTAAGTTACACATAGGTATAAAAAGCATAAAACAGCACACACGGTACCACTGTTTAGACCAGAAAACATCGTGTTGTCCCACAGATAAGGGCGCTATTCCAGCTCAGCTCCATCAGCTTCTGCCTCCAGGATTCAGTCTTCAAAGCTGCAGATGCCTCTGCTTCTTTTCCCTCAGCTTGTGGAGCCCTGGCGGCTTTCCCCTGGCATTTCTCACCCGCGTCTGGAGCACGGACCAGGGAACCACAGGGCAATCCCATCCTGCTCCACCAGCGGTTATAAAAACCTTGAGTTCCTACTGGCTCTTCAGAAATGTTTTCCTCCTTCTCTTAATATTTATGTACAATATATGAAGGGCTATGATTTGCGTCTTAGATTTAGACATATCTCTTGCCTCATACTTAAACAATAACTTGAAAAATATTTTACAAAGAAAAAGAACATTGTTCATCTGAATGTCATTCATTATTATATTGCTATATTTTATACCCTATTATTTATATATACAAAATTTCTTAATTGCCTTTTACAGATGCATGGAAGCATATAATATAACAGTTTTAAAGTATCCCATTTTTAGACTTTTTTTTTTCTTGGCTCATGTCAATCTCTTTAATAAACTATGGTTGCTTGGAGAATATAGGAAGTATTTGGAATGTTGTTTAAAGTTTAATAATAACTGGTAGCATTGTCCATTTGCGGCCTGAACGGTTGGAGCACCTCTCAGGGCGATCTGGTAGAGATAGCAGCATCATAAGACTTAAACAATCATGGAGAGCTGTTAATGTGCAGTGTCGACGGGTGCCAGGTTCTGTTCTTTATTTGGGGCTTTTCTTTTCTTCGGCTGCGTTTTATTGTTGTTTTCCCTCTGTTCTCGGTTTTGTCTTCGGGCTGCTCGCCCTTTGCTTTCCTGTCTTGTCTCCTTGCTTTCGTCTTTGTTGGACTTTTTTCTTTTCTCCTCCCTATTTTTTTTCCCTGAAATAAAAATGATGGCACATTAGAAGATTTGGTCAGGCTGCTGCAATTTCTGACTCCCTCACTTTGCCATAGCCTTTAAAACCAGCCCTGGGTTAGCACCTCCCATTAGAAGCTGGACATTAGTACTAGTGCTGGGAAGTGTCCAACTCTTCATCAAACTACCTAATCCGGCCACTGGACTAGCACCTCCCATCAGTCTGACTCAGAGCAAAGAACCGAGCACTCCCTGGGGAGTCCCGGTGCTTTAGTGGTATAAACATCTCACACACCCATAGCCTGTCTCCTACAGCCAGGGGCACAGCTCCATGTGCTCCACCAAAACACAACTGGTTTGGGGACATCTGTAGCTGAAGCCAGGTAGCATTAACTATTGACTGATCTAAATTGACTGGTCATATGGTGAGAGGAAATTAGCCATCATGTTACTGCCCTTCACTGCCAATGCTCAGCATCTACGCCTTTTAAAAATCCCTCCCCCCTCCCTTCACCCCCCTCACACCCACATCCCAGGGAATCCTTGGTATTGCAGCATGGTCAAGCTTTAGACCACTATTAAAAATTTAGTTATTCAAGTACTGTATTGCTTTAAATACTTATGAAGGTAAGATGTTGAGGATTTTGTTACTGCTACAGACCTCTCCAATAAAGATTCCCATCCCCTTAGGAACATTAAAACTTTGTATATTGGCTGTGGAGATGATATTGTGTAATGCATTTACGCTTGGACAAAAGGAAGAAATCTTTGATGCTGAGGTGTGGCAAGATACTGAAACAGGTTGCCCAGAGAAACTATGTATGCCCCATCATTGGTGGTGTTCAAGGTCAGGCTGGATGGGGCTTTGAGCAACCTGATCTAGTGAAAGATCCCCCCATGGCAGGGAGGGGGTTGGACTAGATGATCTTCAAAGGTACCTTCCAACCCAAACCATTCTGTGGTTCTTTGATTCTATTCCTTCTATTTACTTTACAAACCAATACAGGTATGGCATTGAATCAAACTTGTATGTACACACAAGCCTAAACCAGATTTTTTTTTCTATGTGGAACTGGTTCATCTACTGGGCTACGCAGCTGAAATTCACCTGTGGTTAGATGAATCCCAATGATGTCTTCAAAAGCAACCTTGCTTGAGACTTTCATGATACAATGTCATACCGACCTGTATGCCTCCTAACAGGGGCAAGTATTGAAAAGCTTCTGGCCAAACTCTGTTTTATAATGTCCTGGTAATGATACTGCTGAAAATAACCTACCCCTCTTTGTTACAGCAAAAATACTTTTTGCTTTTAAATATCAGGCAGAGATAGTCCAGGCTTTCCTACACCAGTGATGGGGGAGTTACACAAACCTGGCAATAGCTCTTGCTGTTGAGTGTGCTGAACGCAGGGAATTGTGCCCGTTCCAGACTCAAAACCAGAGCTGGGAGGTTTTGGTGCCTCAATGGGCTCTGTGGGAGTAGATCATGGTGAGGGAGTAGGTGCAGGGGCAGTGGCTTTGTTCTGAGAATGGATGACCCTCCAGGGAGGAGTAGGTCAGATAAAGGGAGTGAGATTCAGAGGAGGTGAAGAGAAGGCAGAAAGCAAGGAGTAAGACTAAGATGTGAGGATATGCCATATCATCGTCTTGTTGCGTAGCTCTGTGGGCTTATTTTACAGCTTTTCCATTCCTTACCATCACTGCCTGAGATCAGAGAGCAAGAGAAGGTTTAGATACACATGTTAAGTCAAGTAGGGACAAACATCTGCCTTTCTCATCTGTTGTTTCTGAAACTTGCAGTAAAGCTTTAAATGTAAAATGGCTCCTCAAATTTTAGGTAACCGGTCAGAGATTACTCCACTATACGCCCACATACCTGGCAGCATCCCTCTCTGAATTTGGCAATGCCATCTAAGATGCGGAGGGGTGAGCAGGGGAGACCCGCAGAATGGGCATGTGAGGCTCTGCCAGAGCTACCACCACTGGGAGAGCTGGGAGATCTCCAGGCAGAAGGAGTGCGCATCTCACCCAGCTGTGATGCTGCCTCCTACTAATGGATAATGACAGTATGGAATTCCGTTCCCGTTGTTTGTAAATACGGGCCCAAGATGAAATGTTATTTGAATGGGAACTGTCCAGACATTCAGTGTTTGACATTGTTCAGTCAGTGATCAGCCAAAATCCTTCAACTGTGACTTCCTAGCCACAATTCTTTAAGTCTGCTGGAATGACATTTAATGGTTTCCCTTTCAGTCATGGATCAGGGTGTGTGTTTTCATGTGTACGTGTGTGACTAGACTAAGAATACACTCTCTCTGTCTCACTAGAGGCTTATCTAAGCATGGCTTCACCGTTTCTGTTTTAATCAGACCGGTGTCATTATAAAGGACGAGCAAAAACTGATCTCTGGAAAGTACTTAAAACTCAGTCCTAATTCTCTTCTGCTCTGAGGATAACTCATTTGGAGCCCCCTGTGCGATTTTATACCTGCCATCACCTCCATGCTGTTGCCATTTGTGAAAAGATCTGTCCTCTAGACCTGTGCTGTTCTGGTAATGCAGCAAAGCACAGAACAGGTCAGCTGTGCTGGTTGTTTAGCTCCTCTCAGCAGTATTTGGAAAAGTGGGAGTTTTTATGTGACAGCGTACTGCTACTTCCAGTCAGTCCCTGGTTCAGTTTAGACCCAAGGGAAGATTCTGCCCGCAGTGATCTGCTCACGCTGGGGTGTAGCTGGAGCCACATTCTTGTGTTCATCTCTCTCCCTGTTTATATCCCTGCGCTCTCCTTCCCAGAGGCTCTTTCCTGAATATTTTTTCTTCTTGCTACTGCTTGCTGAAGCCCACTCCGTAACAGCACATTGAACTGGACGCCAGAAGTTGTGGAAATTCGTTGGAAATCTGGGCATTTGGCTCTTTGCGAAATGCAAATTGCAAAAATCATAGAATCGCTTAGGTTGGAAAAGACCTTTAAGATCATCAGGTCCAGCCGTCAACCTAGCACTGCCATCCCACCATTGAACCATGTCCCTAAAAATGGCACGGGCCGTTAGGTTCACAAGCCCGCTTCTGAACTACTTTGCACCCGAAGAAGACGAAAAGGCAGGAGCGGCAGTAAAGCTCGTCAGAGAAGCGAACGATGCAGGAGCGTAACCGGGGAGAAAACATTCTTCCCCAAATTTCCGTTTCCCTTGTGAAGAACGGCGGTGTCGGAAAACCCTCCTGTGTTTGAACACGTAACATTTTATGCATATATAGAGATATATATACACACGCACACACCCGCGCATATGTTCGTGCGTGCATATACCTGCACGGGTGCCTTTCCGCGGGGCCACGCCGCACGCCCCGCGGGGACCGGTGCCGGTGCCGCCCGCA